TGGGGCAGCGGGGAGCAGCCAGAGGCTGGGCCCTGGCTTTTCCTAAATACGTTGATAAGGTGCCTGTTGTGCCCTGCCAGCCCGCCGGCGTGTTAGGGATGTGGGTGCGGAAGGTGCCAGCACCTCGCTCGTGCCCCCGGGAGAGGCGAGTGACACCCGTGCCTTGCCATGTGCCGGGACTTCACGCTTGTGACCACTTTCCAGCGTCTCTGGGGAAAAAAAAAAAGTTAAAACGAGCAAATGCGTGGGCAGAGCAACGGGCATCATTCCTGAGCTCCGGGCCTCGCTGGCTGGGCAGGCCCTGAGGTGTGAAGGCAATGCTCGGTGTAAGTGGGGTAGTGCACGGCAGGATCCCCTTGCTGTGCGCTCCTCTGAGGATGCATGGTGAAATGGGGGGCTTTAGGGGCAGGGGGAAAGCGCCCGCTGTCTTCGGTAGGACCCAGCTTTCTCCCAGACACTTAAAGCTCATGTGTAGATGTGAATTGGTTCAGATGTTCATGGCAGGAGCACTGCACGTCGCCAGGATTTCTTACCGTCACACGCTGTGTTAGGATTTGACTATTGTGTGTTGGCAGAAGGCTGATAGATTGGCCAGTACTGCAGAGCCACTGCTGTCCATGTTGAAACATCACATCTCAGAACATGCTTGCATTTTTTTAATAACATGATTTTCTTGTAAGTAGTAATAAGGCTGATAGATGAGGAATTAGATTTCTTGACTGAAGAGTTAATGTAAATTCCGTTTTACTTTAATCCATGTTCAGTGGTAAAGCAAGGAAATCATTCACACAAACTGCCCCTGGACAGCACACTGATTTGTTTCCACATGCTTTAAATGGCTTGAATGTCTTTATTTTCTCAAACAGCAAAAAGTCCTGCTGATGGTACTCCAAGAAGACCTGTTTTATCTGTCAGTGCAAGAAAAATTAAAGATAATGCAGCAGACTGGCATAATTTAATGATGAAATGGGAGAAACTGAATGATAATGGATTTACTACAGCAAACAAAATAGTCAACATGAAGATCAGTGAGCAGTAAGTATGCTAATACATACAAGTAAATACAGCACAAAGATTGCCTATATTGAGAAATTAATCTGTTTTCTTCACTAGAAAGTTATTTTTGTAAATGGGGGAAAGAACATACCAGGGTGGATAAGCTAGCTCTTAGATCAAAACTCAGCAGTTTCACTTTTTGGTTACATAAACTATTTTCATTCAAATAATAAATGTCTTATAAAGATTAAAAAAACTCATAAGTAATGAGGTTTGCAAGAAATGGAAGGCATTTATTATACAGTCAAGCATAGTGGATATTTAAAATACTTACATAAGTCACAAAGTTAGAATCTAATCCTATAGATCTCAGCCCATGTGAGTTCCCTTACTCTCTTGCATATTTACACTGAAGCCAGTATTACCAAATTTCACTCAAGTCAAAAGTTCAGCAGTTTTAAGAAAGAATCAGTAAATTATATAGACGACAAAAAAAAAGTTGTAACAGCGATGATTTAAAAAAAAAGAAACAAACCAAAAACCCGCTTTGGTAGAGATATGACCTTCATGCTGTAAAGAAAAACCTGTAACTAACAGGGTTTTGAGAAGAAACTTCTCCAGAGTCCTGACAGCTGACCAGCATTTGTATGACAGGGTTTTGACAGGTCCAAGTTCAGGAATGTTTTGCTGTAATGGTGTCAGATGTTGCTTTCGCTCTGTAGCAACTTCCTCTCCGCTGTCTAAAGTTTACAACTACTGTGGGAAAGTCAGCAAGACAGGGTAGGTGTCTGCACATTAGCTGCTCTGGGTTCACAGTTAAACATCTTAGCTTAAGCTGTGCATGAAGGTGAGTTTGTGGTGAGGCACCAGATTGTCAGCTGGAACAGCTGAAGCCTGGTCATACCTTGTCAATTATGAGAGAATAATCTCCAACACAGGGGCAAGGTAAAGTGGGAAAAGGTGTTACCTTAACACCTGCAACTGTTTTTTTCAAGCATGTGCTCTCAGGTAGAGTAATTCTATGTTCCTCTGAAGGTTATGGTACTAGCCGCAGTTGCTCACATGGCTAGCTATGTCTCTTACTGTTTTTATGTAGGAATTCTCATGAACAGTCTATGAGAGAGAGATTTTGTAGGATCAGACCACGTGGATTTTAAGTCTGCGCAGCTCGAGTAAACCTATATGCAGTTTACTCTGCCTTACGTTTCTATTTTAGATTTCAAGACTACAAACTGAAGGTAGCATGTGCTAACAGCGACACAGGATCTGAGAAGCCAGCTCCAAAGTACAATGAAGAACTGGACAATTGCTGTGCAGAATTACTTGAGACGTTAAAGCATATGGTAATGCTCATTTTTCAATCTTAGTCAATATGTGTCAATTCCAAGTGCATTCAAGTATGACATAAGGAAATGTCCTCGAGTATTTGTTGTAAACAGAAAACTTGGATTTTTATTCATAATTTTTAGCTTCAGAGCTAAATGGTTATGAATCTAGCGTGTACCATTTATTTGCTTGATTAGTAAATTTGAAAGTTGGTTTTACATCTGCCTTTGCTTATAATTCTAATCCTCCCTTTATAAAATGATCTTCTGAAAACAAGTTGTACAAAAATGTATTCTAAAACCGCACCTGTTTTCTGTTTTCTCACCCTGAATATTCCCTCTGTTTAGAACAAAATAAGCAACAAAGCATTAAGCAGTGCATTACCTGCCATCATATCCTTGCAGCTATCTTTGATCTGTCATAATGCAGTTACATTTTTTAGTTGATTTTTTCTGTGCAGAACTCCTTCTCTAGAGAGTAGACTAAGAATTATTTTTGTAACCCACCTTTTTTCTGGATACATTACTAGGAATTAATGTCACCTGTCAGTTTGACGGGAAGCAAAAAGAATATTGATACTGTAATTCAAAATTCTTATTAAAAATAACTTTTACAGCCTTCTGCCAAAGTGGAGGCCCATTAAAATGACGATAGAGCTATTTTTTTTATATATACAGGATATCAATCCAGTATTTAGAATAAGCAAGAAAGCAGCTAGGTTTTCCTCAAATTTTGTTCTGTGGGAAAAAGTAACGGTAATTTGGTTGTTTTTTTTTTTTTTTTCCTTGAGGTAGTTTGTATTCAGACTACCAAGTGTGGTGATGCAATTTTTTATTACTACTGCATAATAGGAGTCTAAGCAGCCAGTGTTAGATTGGATACTAAACATAGCTACTACAGACATACTTTATTCTTCATTCGTTACAAGTTTGTACAATTTACGAGTTTATTGAACTGTCTGTATTTTAGCTTGTTGACTTAAAAGATACTGCCTGCAAGCTCCATTTTGTTGTAAATATTAGTCCCCATCAGTAATGCACAAAGTCAGGTGAACATGAAGGAAGTGGAGGGAATGACCTGTTTTTCTAAGCAAGCTTTTAAATCAGCCTAGATATATTGTCAGCAGTAGCATGAGCTGCTTTTCTCACCTGCTGCTGATCTTTTGAAGTCAAATTTAAATCATCTTGACATGATAATGTAAGAAAGCATGTGTTTGTTAGGCTTGTGCCACACTTGTTCATAGTCCGATGTATTTCCCCAGTATTAAATTGCTAAAGGAAAAACACAGAGAGGGGTGAAAAAATGAGAGAGGGCTTTAATACATTTCTACATGGGGGAAACAAAAGAATTATGCAAAATCAGAGTCAGTAAGTCATATCTGCAGTGTTCAAAATTTTAGGGTAGTTCATATTAAATCTTTATGTAAACTACAGCGTTGATTTCTGGCTGGAGTTAAAAAAAGTGAGAAATGTTAAGACTAACAGAAATAGTGTGTTTTAAAAAAAATGTTTTAAGATTATAGTAGCCTAATGTTCCTGAGATGTTCATTAACATTACACATTCATCATTTTCAGACAAAAATACAACTGAAAATGGAAAAGCTTTCTTCGACTGCTAAAGCAATCTGTGACTTGGAAACATTCCACCATGGAGCTGGGAATTGCACGGCACCTTTCTTTCATACATGGCCCACACCGTACTTCTGTAAGTGAAATATTTACTATCTTAGCTAATTGTGTCATTGATGTCATCTAATTTAGGACTGAAAAATAAACCCTTTTATCTGGATGTCTTGCTGTAGAGAGAGAGTGTATCTGTCTCCTTCATAACTGACTAATCAATAAACACATGAATGCACCACTTGGCGTATGGTGACTGCTGATGGCTGCTTGTATGAATTGCTAAGCGTTGTCTGACATGCAGCAATTGCAGCATAAAACTAAGCTTGTCAGCAGCTGACAGAGTCCAAGCTGCAACAGCCACATCCTTTGTAGGCAGAGACATATTTGCAACTTGGTAGTGTTAAGCCATAGGCTTAGCTGTCTTGACTTGTTACTTAACACTGAAATGAAATCCTTGAATGCAAAGAACGAGTTAATTCTCAGACAGCCAAAGAAAAGTACCTCTGATCTCTATGTCAGTCAAGGCAAGTAAAGAAATGAGCAGTTACTATCTACTGTTACTATCAGTCTTTTTAGCTTTCACTTGATGGCAAAAGGTACTGCCTCCCAACTGGTATTACTCAGCTTTAAAACTCTTTGAATTCAAGAGAAGCCTGATACATGCGAACCAGCTACCGCCCTTGTGGAGTGAAAGTCATACCTTTGTGCCGCCCTGCTTCTTACTTCACTGCCACAAGTTAGCAGGGACCTCATGTATTAGTTTCTGCCAGCTTAGAAGGGTGAGATGCCAAAGACAACTGCTGTCAAAACACTCATTGTGACTGAATCATGTAATGATGCTCTCTGCTCCATGAGAGACTAAATCCTCCTGAAGGCAGTGATAGGTCAGCCTAAGTGGAAACACAAGGTCAGTCTGTCTTTAAAAATAATTTATGTGGTTATTTTAAGAAAGTCAAACGATTAAAGATTATTACATAGATATATTTTTATCCCCTCTACCAGAATTACTAACATAACTAGTAACAATATTCGTTTTTACATTGCACACTTCAGTTTTGGCCTGTTGTTTTGCTTTACTGTTGTTCTTCACTATTGGTAATACTCTGGTGATCATGCATTGCTAAAGTGCCTGACAGCATATGAGGGCATCCTTTAGATTAGCTAAAATCAACAGTGGCTCTAAAATGTGAAGCTTATATTTCAGAAGCATTACAAAATTTTGATATAAAATTTCAGTTATTTGGAAGAATAGATATAATTGATAATTTTACAGTTGGTCCTGAGAAGCAATACCACTGCTTATTCTAGAATTAAAAGGGGAGTCATGTCAAAATCACAAGTGTATAAAATACATCCAAAGCTGAGGAAATTGTTCAGCGTTTTATATTCTACTGTACAAACATTATTAATGCTGTAAGAAACAAGATGTCTGAATATGGGGAATAGTTTATGTAAGGTAGGAGGTTTTTTAATGATCAACATATCACAAGCATAATGTAACTTTTAGAGAATTGCTGAGATATTCTGGTCCATGTGCTTAGGTTTTCAATCCATTTCAGATGAGGTTTCTCTGAAGCTCTCTGAAATGTACAAGAAGGAACTACAACTCAAGCAGACAATTGTACAAGAAATTGCTCATTCTGCTGACCAGGATCTGATGATGGTCTATTTATCGTCATGGTTATACCAGCCTTACATTGAGAACAGCAGCAAACTGCTACTTGAAGCCATGCTGCTGGAAACAGGACATAGACAGTGCTAGAATTTCAGACGTTACATGGTTTGCTTCTGATGGTGCTTACATGAAACTGCAGTGGCAAATCGCAAGGCTTACCAAGTAAGTTGAATTTTTGCAAAACTTATTAAACGTATTTTTCTCTATTTGTATTTATTATTTTGTCTGAGCTGACAGTCCTTTTTCTTCATGGGACAATCTGGGTTTGGTTGATTTATCCATTTTAAGTGCAAGAGACGCTACTGGTAGGAGGCCAAGTCCCCTATAACCAAAAAGAGGTAAGCACTGCTCACTGGTCTGAGGGGATTCAATGCACATAGACACCTACAGCAAAGAATTTAACTACTCTTCAAGTCTTGACAGTCTCAAATACCTACATTGTCCCTTTCACCATAGAAATTCAGCACTTCTTGATCTTTCATGGGGTTTTGTTTGCATGACTTGACAGGTTTTGAACTTGCTTTGTAAATGGGGAAAAGGAAAGAAAAGCACAAAAGACGGGATCCAAAAGGATGCACATAGTTTTGTGTGTGGTTCTGAAATGCTGTTGCAGACGCTAGTGTAAATTCTGGTTTGGCGTTGATTCTAGTGTGGTTAGGTACATCACCCTTGAAGGGTGATCAAAGCCTGAACTAGCACACTGGGAAAGTTTAGTAGAACTCTCCATCCCACAGTCATTATGTTAAAAGGTCTTGTCTTTCTTAATTCATTGTAACTTTTTTCTTTTAGAGATGTTTCAGGAAAGCAGCTGTTGAATAATAACAAGACCTGCTTCAGTCATGGCCTTACCCCCATATTGTTTGCTTTCTGTCATAGGCCTCAAGGAGTTTTTCCTTGGATTACTGATTCTGATGTCAAGTGGTTTGGTTTAAAGGTGTGCCTCCTCTCTATTTGTGGTTAGCATTTTACAGGACAAGAATGGGTGGCTCAAATTCTTGCTTTTCTTTTTTATGCTTTCTTGGAAAAGAGAGTAGAGAATGCATTCAGGAGAAAGTTAATGCAAAAGCTAAATGCTGAAGTGGAATTCAATACCTTTATTTGCTTTCACTCTTAGAGACGTAATGACCACTGTAGCATGCCGTTAGGTCAGACCTGGGTGGCATGGGGAAGCTGCTACACTTACCCAGCCTTTAATAAGTTAGCTGCTGTCGCAAATGATCACTTTTCAGAGAAGTATATTACAATGTGGAAACTACGCAGCTGCATCAAATGTTTAGTTAAATCCCTAACCTGTAGTGAGTTCAGGCCTTCTGCTTACTTCATTGTGATTAAGAACCTAAATTCCTCCCACTTACTGACTGCCTGTATACCCTGCTCCTATATAAACTGTTGGTTTAGATCTCCTGTTTCACCTGTAGTCTTTCTAAATGCTGTGGAGTCATTGTTGTGCCCTGACAAATATTTACCCTTGATTCTCCTTGAGACAACTATTTCAACTAGAAGACAGTGACACGGACACAGCACACTGCTGTGAAATCACCATAATGGCTGTGGTTTGACACTAGAAAAATCTAATTAAAACAGTGAGAGATTCTGGAGCAGATTTCTGATAGGAAAAGTAGAGTTAATTACTTAACTAGTTCCAAGCTAAACCCCATAAGCTTGGTAAGGGAAATACATGAGTTTCCTGCAACAGCGGAACAGACGGACATGAATTAGAAAAGTTTTCTCAATATGTTGCTCTGTTCAACAACGAGGTTGTCTCTGACTGCTTAATAGTGTTCTATTTTTACTCTGAATTTCTAGCTCCTAAAAAGAAATTCTGCTGTAGCTCAAGGAGAATGCAATCGGTTATGAATAGCTTTGTTGGGTTTTATTATTTTTCTGTGCAAGCGTTCCACCTAGTTTAACAGCCACCTTAATTTACCCGAGTAGGGCCAGACCCTTGTCACTATGGAAACACCTTCATACTTGAAACATATTTTCCAAGGAGAAAAGGCTGGTTCGCTTATAGAATTGTTCTTTTAAGATGAGAGTAGGTGTATTGTATTTCCCAGCATGTGCAAATCAATAGGGAAGGCAGAATTGAAGCAGATTTTAATTTTCTGCACAGGTGGAAATCATGGTTTGTTCTTGCTTCTTAGAGGAAATAAGCTTTTCATGAAGGAGTCTTCATATTCACAGACCCCCTTGCTCATTGACTGCTGTCAGACACAGGAAGATTACTGCAAAATCATTGCAGAGATGTTTTGTCATTATAGTTCTAAGTAGTTGATTGTTATATTTGAAGCCCTCAGACGTAGTTACTAGACAGTCAGTACAAAAGAGTGTAATAAAGAATTGCTTACTGCAATCAAAGACTTTGAAAGACCAGCAGAACCTTGCTTTGTATGGTATCTTCACTTACAAGGTAGGCCTGTATCCACTGACCATTAGCACCTCCCAAAAAAAGGGGAAAAACCCCAGAACAAAAACTATACCATAAACCCGATCACCAGACTCGAGGTCACTAATGTGTGATGACATCTTTCACATCCACACATAAAAGGCAGTGTTTTGGCTAATTAATTTAATCTTCTACTTAGGCAACCAAGAGAAAACAAACCAACAAAAAACCCAAACCAGCTATGTTAAAGGGATGTAGTAGAGCAGATTGTTTCATCTATAAACTGTCCTTTTTCTTGTTTAGATTCACTTTTAATGTAAGTTTTTCCTCAGTAACAAGAGCATGGAAAAATCAATGTTCATACTTAAGAACAGTTCTCCTGCGTATCACAGATCCCTTTAGCCGATTTGTCCAGTTGCCTTGGTAGCCTCATGTATTTGGCAATGAGGCAACACGCACATTTTAAAGGAAAATTACCAGTTTTCAGAAGTCCACAATAGCTCGTGAACAAAGTAAAGATACTAGTCATTGAAGGGTGTGTTGTTTTCATCTGCTAAGCTTATTGAAAGAAAAGACAGTGCCTTGGAAAAGAAGCTGCTAGGAGGTCTCCACAAAAGTATTATCATCCAAGCAACATACTGAAAATATGACAAAAATACAAGCTAGTGGAGCGGTAAGTTTTCTGCCTGCATAGGGAAACAGGGATTATAGTCAAGGATACCTTTTTATTATGATTAAATAATGCAGGGCAGCGTGGAGTTACTGGGAAGATCAGAGCTTAGAACTGATAAAGGATGCATCATCTGAAAGAAAAGTACAAAAGTCTAACAAAAATAGACGCATCACGGACTAAAGTAAAAAAAGAATCTCATATCTCATTAAGGAAAATCGGATCCCTACTTACGCACCTTCCCCTTTCTGTCTAAGTAACAACAATTTTTAAAGGTGCAGCTGAACATCAGAGGAGTGTACTTAAATGCAGTTCCAACAGTCCAGTACAAATCAGATCTTGTTTGAGGCTATTTTTGTCTCTAACTCAGTGGATGCTTATTTACATAAGGATCAGCTAGGCTGTCACGTTGTTCCCAGAATGCACAAGTGTGGATTATATTTGAAACTGCCCATTTTTCCAGGCAGGTTTATGTGCATCAAGTGTAGATGCTAATGAACATTCAAGCTAGCTTTAGCAAAGTGCATTAACAAAGTGTTCTGTAATCTCAATGGCACAGAAAACACGTATTTCTAATATAGTTTTTATTTTACCCATATACAGCTCGCCAGTACACAGCACATCACTGCTGAACAGCAGTACAACTTACTGCATTTTTAGATGGCTAGAGAGAAGAGGAATTACGTAACAAAAGGGAATAGTGCAACAGTTTTAGGGTTGACAGATTTCCACTTTCCACCCACCCCCAACATATAAAGCAAATAGAACAATGTTAATTCTAGAATTTTTGGTTGCAATGCTGCTAGATTTATATAAACATAAGTTATAAAAAGTACAGGGCATAGAAACAGTTTACAAATAAGTTAAATTTCAATTATTTCAGTATTCACATTAGAAAAATATACATTTTATAGAGTCAGTCTTTTCCAGAAGAAAGCATATACAGTTTTCTAATTTATGGCTCCAATTCACTTTGCGAGAGCAAAATATTTTCACTTTGGCCATCTGCTTCCATTGCCAGTAGTGCTTCCACAGTTTCCAAAGGTATCCCCTCAGGTGTGCGAATGTGCATTGTAGTACCATTGGAATCGGTTACAATAACGATGCCTTCTGCCTGAGACAAAACAGCAGTATCGGAGTGAGACAGGATAAGCCCGTCTGAAGTCTGAATAAAAATCTGTTCGTGTCCCTGAGACAAAAAATCATGGCTCTCATCAGTAATCTCAAAGGCTACAGTTTCATCTACAGTAACTGTATTCTCCAGCTCATGTTGTTCCCCTGTCCCACAAGCAAATTCATTCATGTTTTTAAAAGAGGTTTCATGGTTCACATGAGCAGACAGGGAGGCTTCCTGGACAGGGTTCTGGTGTGACTCAGTCTGAGCACTGCGTGGGTAGTTTATTGGCACAATGTTTGTTGAAAAAACTTTTTCAAGTTCCTGCATCTCATCAGTCATATCAGCATTATGAAGTTGTTCAGAATGTTCTTTAATTGCAAAATTGTGGTTTTCTTCTTGCAGTTTTTGATATTTTTGATTGTGACCATTTTCTTCACTCGTCGGTAAGTTAGTGCTCTGACTGCCCACTGCATTCTCTGACACAGAGCTGCAAAGTTCAGGAGCTGACAGTCCGCCCGCTGCATTCTCACTCACAAAGTGTGCTTGAACTAATTCAGGTGAGTCATCTGCTTCAACAGGCAATACAACTTCAGTATGCAGCAGAGATGTGTCACCTGCCATACCTGGTCCCTGCATGTTCACAGGTTGGGAATACTCTATCCTCATTTCCACAGTCTGGGAGAAGGTACCTGAATTTTCTGCATCGGTTCTGACTCCTGAATCAGCAAGTGAATTATGTTCCTCTGCTGTCAGTAAGGTACTTCCAGTTGTGCAGCACGTGATATGCCTATCTTCTGAAAGGAGGATTTCTCCATTTAATGGATTTAAACCTGAAAAGGTGAAAGAAATATCATTTTGTTGGGCAATCTAATATTGCATGTACAAAGAAATATTTTTTCAGCAAGAATTTCAGAGGAAAAGCTAGACTACTTTCCTGCTTTTTTCCCCCCAAATTTTAGCAAACCTGAAGCACCTTACAAGAGTTTCACAGCATTTCCCAACGAGAAAGCCAGTATAAAAATACTTAAGGAATTTTTGGATAGTGA